CTCAGTTCTCCCCACCATTCTGAGCAGAAAGCGGTGACTGTCAGTCTGCAGCTCTCTACTCTGCCTCTCAAAGCGCTCAATGCAGCAAGTCTGGATCATGTCCTCTTGATGACTTCTTTGCTGCTGTGGAGGGGGCAGGAGCTGCTGGCTCAGGCTCTCAACAGCTCACTGAGATGCTGAGCCAGGTGCCGGATCAGGCTCCCGGGTGAATCCTGGGTGATCTTTTCCCAGACTGGGCTGGCACTGAAACGTCAGCTGACGGTGATCTTTAGCCCACTATCTGCTGAAAACTAGTCATAGGAGTGCAGAATGAATTACTCATGTGATCCACAGGACAAATATTCTTTTAATTGTGGGTTGTTTTTTTTTTTGTTAATATTGTCAATTTGCCTTTTTGAGGTGCATAGTATGTATTGTATGGCTATGACAACCTATGAGCTCTAGTTTGCCAGCTCCCTTCTACTTGGATTATGATCACTTTCCGATTATGTGTTCTGCAAGTCCTAGGGTCCCATTTTGGGTGACATGAGGGGAGTAGCATACTGAAATTAAACGTTGTTGGTTGTTTAACCTGCCGTATACCTTTTTCCATTTAGGCTTATAGCAGCCCAAGCCCTGACAACCCTATCTGGAATCTAGCATCTGTATGATATCTTGTACTGGTATTCATTTACTGCCTTAATTCCCAGTGTTCTGGAATTTATTTGCCTTTTTTAGGCTTATAGTATCCTTAACCCCTGTCACTGTTTTGGGTACTCTTATGTTTTTGTTTTGTTTTGTTTTTATTTACCAGAGTGACTCCTTTAGTGGATTATACTTTTGATACTATATCGGATGATTTGTCATTTTCTGCTGTTTTCAGACTATTTAACAGCCTTTTAAATGATGAGAACATTGCATCTATATCCCCTGATGGCCTACTGCTTTGACAGTGCTCTTACAGCAGTAATTTATCTTTTTTTTTTTTCTTGTGTACACTTAATTATTACTCTTTTTAATTACTGGACACAAGATAGCATTCTGGAACATTGGGTTATATTGCCACATTCAGGAGAATTAAACACTGGCAAAACTGTATAGTCAGCCCAGGATAACCCCTTCCAGTCCCAGTATGGTTTCGTTTTTTGTTAATGTCCTTAGGGAAAATGTTATTTTCTCTCTGCTCTGAGAGAAGCAAACTTTTTTTTTTTTTCTTTTTTACTTTTTATCAAGGCTTTTTTTTCTTTTTTTTTCCAACAAGATTATTCTGTTGCTGCAGAGCCATTGGGTCTCACCTTTGCAGCTTCCCGATTGGTTACTCCTCAGTTTTGCTCTGTGGGCTGTACCTGGACCCTGCCTTGAAGAATTATGGCCCGGCCTGTAATATTTACCTTTCTGCACTGGCCCCTGTGTTAAGCGCTCACCTAGGCAAGTGATGCAATATGTTGTTACAGTGTGCTCTACATGTTCAGGGCTAAGGTGGAACCCAGTACCTGAAGACTCTTTAGGAGGTATGCCCACCACAGGGGAGAAAACTGCCTGGATGGGGTATTGTTACTAAGGGGTCTGTATGGGCACTTTCCAGTACTTGATCACTATGTCTGTTAGCCACAGAATGCCCCCCAGATCACCACTGTAGTAGGTAAGGGAGTTTGTCCCCCTTCTTTGCAGGAGCCTTGTATATGTACTTTACTTCCCATCAAGGCTTAATCTCTTGCTGTTTTGCTGCTTCAGATTGGTCACTGCACCTGACGGGCTGGTGCGATGATAGTTTTATGGGTCGCATGCGCCTTCGAGGGTACTACTGGTCTCTAGTTAGTCATTGCCAAAAATATTGGCACCTGTGCATATAATGCACCACTCCGTCCAGAAAATTGTTGCAGTTACAAATGTTTAGGCATTCTCCTATTTATTTCTTTTGTTTATATTGGAATGACACAAAAAAGTGGAGAAATAAAAAGCCAAATCTGACACATTCCACACAAAACTCCAAAAATGGACTGGACAAAATTACTGGCGCCTTCTAAAAATTGTAATAAATAATTGCATTCCAAGTTTGTAATGCTCCTGTGATTTGCAATTAAACTCACCTGTATCAATTAATTGGTGATGACAATCTAGAAATAACACTGGCAACCAGTTAATGGTGAAAGATTGACTCAACCATTCTATTGTGTTGTGTGCCACATGGAGCATAGAGAAGAGAAAGAGCAGCAAAGAATTGCTGAGGATTTGAGAACAAAAATTGTGGAAAAGCATGGACAATCTCAATGTTACAAGTCCATCTCCAGAGATCTGCATGTTCCTGTGTCCACTGTGTGCAACATTGTCACGTTTACAGCCCATGGCACTGTAGCTAATCTCTCTGGACATTGACAAAAGAGACAAATTGATCAGATTGCACCAAAGGATTCTTCGAATGGTGGATAAACAACTTCCAGACAAATTCAAGCTGACCTTCAGGCACAGGGTACAACTGTTTTCTCACACTATACGTCACCATCTGAATGAAAAGGGACGTTTTGGTAGGAGACCCAGGAGGACCCCACTGCTGCAACAGAAACATAAAAAGCCAGATTGCAGTTTGTCAAAATGTACCCGAGGAAGCCAAAATCCTTTTGGGAGAATGTGTTGTGGACAGACGAAACAAAATGACAGCTATTTGGTAAAGCCCATCATTCTAATGTTTTCAGAAAAAAGCAGTGAGGCCTTTTAAAGAAAAAAATACAGTCCCTACAGTCAAACATGGTGGAGGTTCACTGATGTTTTGGGGTTGCTTTGCTGCTTCTGGCACTGGATGTCTTGACCGTGTGCATGGCATTATCAAATTTGAAGACTACCAAAGAATTCTGGGGTGCAGTCTAGGCCCAGTGTCAAATTTGGTCTCTGTCAAAGATCATGGATTTTACAGCAGGACAGTGACTCAAAGCACACTTCAAAAAGCACCCAGAAATGGTTTCAGACAAAGCGCTGGAGAGTACTGAACAGGCCAGTAAGGAGTCCAGATCTCAATCCCAATAGAGCATCTGGGGAGAGATCTCAAAACAGCAGTTGGGAAAAGAAACCCCTCCAATCTGAGAGACCTTGACCTGTCAGCAAAAGGAGAGTGGTGACAAATTTTAGTAGAGAGGTGTAAGAAACTCCTTAATGGTTACAGGAAACAATTGATTCAGTTATTTTTCCAAAGAGTGTGCTATGAAATATTAGGGGTGCCAATAATTTTGTCCAGTCCAATTTTGGGGTTTTGCATGGAATGTGTCAGATTTGACTTTTTGTTTCTCCACTCTTCTTGTGTCATACCAATACAAACAAAAGAAATAAAAATGAGAATGCCTAAACATTTGTAAGTGCAATACTTTTCTGGACAAAGTGGTCCATTATCTGACAGAAATGCAGGGGGTACCAATATTTTTGACCATGGCTGATAAAACTTGAAGCCAGCGCTACAATACTTTGTATGGTCAACTGCATACTGGAGTACATGGCTGTGACACTTTCATGTTTTGTGAGCTAGAGTACATTGGCTGCAATGCCTTTTTAAGCTCTTTCACCTGCATATGTGCCCTGTCCAAGTCTTAGATCTGTCCAGAGTAACGCCTTCCTCTGTTTTCTCTGGGCATGAATTTTCCTGTAACTATGTCAGATTTTGGCTAACCTACCACTGCCATGTTTGCCTACTCAGTACACGGGCTGCAGGTGTTTTACGTGTTTTAAGAGTCTTTCTCTGATGTTGCTGCAGATGATTTTGCACATGTAACTGAGGATGAGGAAGAATCTCTGCTATACTCCATGGATGACTTTGTACTGGAGTGTAGGTTCAGTCCTCTGAAATCTCTTTCAGGTTAAATAATACCATTTCAATACTCATGGGTGCAGTATGCACATACCTAGAGCTCAAACAACCTGCATCTCTACTTCTACTTTGCCAGTCTGGTCTCCCTTAAAAGCTCCCACCTAGTCAAGATCTTCTAGTATATGTGCTACAGCAAAAGCCTTGAAGTCTCTTTTCTCCTGACGGGCCCTGCTGTGCTACCTACCATTGCTGTCATGTCCATTTGCAAATCATTTTTGGTTTTGACCTAGGATATGTCTTGGGTTCACAGTACAATGTTACGTGATCTTCCAGCATATCACAGAGCTCTTGCTTATTGCTCTAAACTACTGTTGATGAGCTTGAGGAAATTTTCCGTCTCGTATCTGGATGTTCTTTGACCATCAAGGATACCTTCTTGCATGTCCCCACCTTCCTGGTGAATTAATGCTATTGATGTTTTATGGTCATGAAGCATTGTCAGTTTGTTGCTCTTCAGTTTGGCCTGTTCACTACTCCTCATGTCTACACCAGGATACTGGGTCTCTGCTCCCACTTTGTTTTAATCTCAGGACATATGTGTGTGTGTGTGTGTGTGTGTGTGTGTGTGTGTGTGTGTGTGTGTGTGTGTGTGTGTGTGTGTGTGTGTGTGTGTGTGTGTGTGTGTGTGTGTGTGTGTGTGTGTGTGTGTGTGTGTGTAATAAGTGTGTGCCAACATATGACATGTGGAAATTTAAATGGTTGCTTGAAATGGTTGCTGAATTCTCATGACCAAAACAAAACTGCCAGTTTTTTCAAACCGAAACCATATCTGCTGGGTGCATCTTCATATCTCCTGCTTGTGTGCTTCCTGTGCTATATATAAGGGAATGTTAGCCAACTGCCTTTTCTGAACACTGTTTCAGTGGTTAGGAAGAAGGTGACCTTTGTACCTGATCGCTACCACTTAGTTATTTTATTTAATTAAAATATTGATTGCATGCACGGCTGATATAGTACTGTTGCTTTTTTTCCCCACAGACCAATGTTCTTTCTGAAAGTATAATGTCTCACTATTCTTGTACATTTACAAGCCATTCTTTGCTGCTGTTCCTGCTACTGATTTTTGTAATAGCTCTTTGTGTTGATTATATTGCTTCATCAATACTATTATCGATACAAGTGTTCATATGTGCTCATGTGTTTTAATGGTTCTGCTTTGTTTCTTCAGGGTCGGAATCTGGCAGATCTCCGCCGCAGCCAGTCCCGGGGCACTTTTTCCATCAGCACCATGCTGCGACTTGGGAGACAAATTCTGGAGGCAATCGAGAGCATTCATTCTGTAGGGTTCCTTCACAGAGACATCAAACCGGTTAGTATATGACAAATATGTACACTTGGATGTCCTTACAGTGGATCTTTTTTTTTTCCCCCCCTATGGTTTTGATAGAGTGAGGCAGGATTTGATCCCCTCTTGGGTCCTTATGACTGTCTGATGAGGTACATCTCGGCTGGTAAAAATAGTATTATGATTCCTTAGACAAGATATAATGTCACATCTCACTGTGTTTTTTATAAATAGTGTTTCACTTTTATAATATTATAGTAGCAACAGTTACTTTATTATGCCACTGTAGGCAATGTGATGGCGTAAACAACCCTTGTGATGTGTATATCTTATCTAACTATAGATCTCTGCGCTTTGTTAGTCCTATCCCAGAAAAAAACATCTCTAGCTGTCAGCAACCAATAAATGTACTTCTCTAAAGAATATACTCTATAAAGTCTAAATGGTGAAGTGCTCCCTTATATCAGAAGTACAATAAAAAATTGTATATGAAAAATCCATCAATTTTGATATAAATATAGAAAAAAAACCTATATGTACATAATAAGCTATATAAAAAAGTCTATCCTCAAACTGTGAAGGGAACTCAATGAAGTTTTGATAACAAAATGGGTAGGAAAGGACTTATGGTCAAATGGGCACAAAAAAAAACCATTTTATAATCAGAAAGCAAATTCCTATGGATGTGTAATTATTGTATTATGTGTAGTGGTTTGAGTTGGTGATATTTGTAGTTTTATTATTTTAACAAAAGTAGTTTTAAATGGCGTTTCACTTTACAAAAAATAATCCAATGGAAAGCATTTAGCATTATAATCTTAATTCAAATAAAATTTAAATAAACCAGTAAGAAGATGCCTTAAAGCGTTATAATAGCCTTGCAACCAATCCTGAGCCCAGTTGCAGATGAAACAAGCACGCATTTGTTAGTGTATAGTAACTAAAGAGGTATATTCAAAAACAAAAATGTATTAAATTGCAGCTCACCAACTTTTAGATGTAGTTGGCTGCATTTGTTTTCTTGTTTAGGCTTTTTTCTTTTATTTTCACCTGCTAATCCAGCTAGTAAGTTTGTTTTATTTTGTAACTTCTTTTAACAGACCAAGCTGTCCAGACAAAGCAGTTGGAGGGATGAGGCAAACCATTTAACACTGATAGGGGTGCTTCCACTGATCAGCTGTTATTCATTTATATAAAACGTTTATCCCAAAAGGAAAAAATGTTTGCTGTAACTGCTTATAAAGAGTCAGCTGGCGTTCAGCTTCAATTTGTTAGTCAAGTTTCTATGAATCTGCTAGTCTACTGTTAGGTTCACACTAGCCCACACTCTGTGGGGGAAGGGGGGGTGCCATTCATTCTGAATGGCACCCCCCATGCATCTCATCCTGCAGTGTGATTGTGATATGATCACGGGTGCAGAAACCACATGGTCAAAAAGACCATGCAATTTCCGTGTGACTGCGTTGCAGAAAAGGTGCCTGCGCTGCAGGTACAGCAGCCCATTCAAATGAACCGGGCCTAACACTACTCTCTCCCATGACTGACCATGCTGCTCTCCAAAGGTATGTGCTTCATTTCTTCATTCTGAATGCAGAGGCTCTAAGACAGAAAGTGTGTTACTGGTGGGATCTCCAGATGAAATAAATAAAAAAAAAAAAAAACTAAAAAAAGAAATCTAATGCAGCCACTGCGGTCTAAAGATTGGTAAGCTGTGATTTATTACATTTTTGGTTTTGGGTTTAAAGGATAAGTTTATCTTTTGTTGCATGTTACACATTACACCCATATTCTCCCCTGCATCCAGTGTCACACATTACACCCATATTCTCCCCTGCATCCAGTGTCACATTCAAAATTGTTGTTTCTTCGGTCCCAGAGCAAGTCCTGTCTGCCAAGGCAAAAGATGGCTTGTAGTTCTCAATGGACTGTGAGGGCACTTATGAGTACCCTTTGTAGTTAATTTACACTTCCTCCAGTTTTTCTGCCCATACCTCTGTATGGGCTTTTCTGTTTGAAAACTGAAGGATGTGCCTGTAGTTGCCCGAATTTGCACTCGATAATAAATGCACATTTTTTCAGGAAAAATATATGCCTTTATTCCACCTCCCACTAAGGTAAACTTATCTTTTAATATTGCTTTAAATATTCAAAGAGTGAGGCTCCCAAAGACAGATGTGCAGATTTGGTAAACTAAACACTGAAATCTCACACATGGGAGAAGAAATAAACCCAATAGGAATTGAAACTCTTCAGCATCTGCCAGAGTGTAGAAATCAGGGATGCACAGAAATTTTGGTGGCCAAAAAAACATTTCGGCTGAAAACACAGCTTTCTGCCGTCGGCCGAAATGGAACACTCAGGTTTGTAATGTGATTGGGGGTAGTGAGGAACTTCAAGGACAGACACTTTGGTACATGTGAGAGATGACGGCCTGTAGTAGATGTGTTTTTTCATAGCTCTATCACACTGTTGAGGTGAGGCAACAGGTGAGCAGAAAGGTTTCCCAAACAGCCAGATTACTGATAAGCTAACGTCTACTATTCAGTGCTCCTTCTCCTTGACCTCTCCGCGACACAGTCGACCACCCCCTCCTCCTCAAAAATCTACACTCCCTTGGCCTCCGAGACTCCGCTCTCTCCTGGCTCTCGTCCTACCTATCACACAACGCTCCTTCAGCGTTGCCTATAACGCTACTACTTCCCCCTCACTCCCCCTCTCTGTTGGGGTCCCTCAAGGCTCTGTCCTCAGGCCCCTTCTCTTCTCCATCTACACCTCCTCCCTTGGCCAACTCATACACTCTCACGGCTTCAACTACCACCTCTATGCCGATGACACGCAAATCTATCTCTGGACCCCTCACCTCACCCCTTCAGTCTCCGCCCAAATCACAAGCCTACTGAAAGACATATCAGATTGGATGACGCTCCACTTCCTTAAACTGAACCTCTCCAAAACCGAGCTCCTAGTCTTCCCCCCAGCCCGCACACTACCCCCCACTGACTTCTCTGTCACGTCCAACAAAGCCATCATCAGGCCCGCCTCGCAGTCCAATCTATCCTTCCAGCCCCAAGTCCAATCACTAACAAACTCATGCAGACTCCACCTCCGCAACATCGCCAAAATCAGCACGTTCCTAACCCCAGAAACCACTAAGCAGCTTATCCACTCCCTCGTCATATCACGACTCTATTACTGCAACTCCCTCCTCACTGGCCTGCCTCGCCGCTGGCTATCCCCCGCTTCAGTCGATCCTGAACACGGCATCCAGACTCATCCACCTTACCAACCGCTCCGTTTCTGCCACCCCCCTCTGCCAATCCTTCCACTGGCTTCCGATCGCTCAACGGATCAAATTCAAAATCCTAACACTGACGTACAAAGCTGTCCATCATACTGCCCCAAACTACATCACCGACCTAATATCCAAATACCACCGAAAACGTACTCTCCACTCCTCACAAGACCTCCTTCTCTCTAGTTCCCTGGTCTCCTCCTTCCATGCCCGCCTCCAGGACTTCTCCAGGGCGTCACCCATCCTCTGGAACTCCCTACCCCAATATATCAGACTATCACCTACTCTCCTCTCCTTTAGGCGCACCCTAAAAACCCACCTCTTCAGGGAAGCCTACCCCACCCCCTGCTAATTGCCGACCTCCTCCACTCTTCCTACCACTCCATCCCCCACAGCTATTTTCTCCTGTACCCCTATCCCCTCCCTCGAACCCCTCGTGTATCGCATTGTATTGTTATTGTACTGTCTCATGTATTGTCTCCCATTGTAATGTACAGCGCTGAGCGAACTGTTGGCGCTTTATAAATACTGTATAATAATAATAAGCGGACTAGTTTTGGCCTGGCAAACTGAAATCCTAAACAGGTAGGCATTGTTCCCCTTACGCATCTCAAAATGTCATTTTGATATTTACTGGAGTATACCTGTAATGTTGTGAGCTGATGAAGGTATCTTTTTATTGTCTTTATTGTGTGTGTGACTTTCTTCCCATATGTTTTTACAGTCAAATTTTGCCATGGGTCGTTTCCCCAGCACCTGTAGGAAATGTTTTATGCTGGATTTTGGGCTGGCGCGGCAGTTTACAAAACTCCTGTGGAGAAGTACGGCCGGTATGTATATTTTTAAAATGGAACTTCACTTTCTCAATCAACATTGACTATTTGTAATCCTTATGCTGCTAGCATTCGTAAAAGGAGAGGAAAGTATATCAGATTTATTGTTTTAAACTTTTTTTTTTTTTTACATCACTTTAGTTACTTCCTGGAAACATAGGCAAATGATGTCATACATCCCAGGAGTTTTCAGGAGGGGAGGAAGGGTTTTCTCAGGTCAGCACACTCTCCTGCCTCCTGAGCTAAGGGTAGATAGATTCCAGAAAGTATGAATCATCTGCCCTTATGCAAGATGGCCACAGCCAAAAATGCTAGGGGGTGGTTTTTCAAAGTGATTTCACAGCAAAATAAAGCATGGAGACATGGATGGATGCATTTGCTTTGAATATTAAAAATTAATGAAATAGCATTTTTGTTTTGTGTGCTCAGGTGCGGGGTAGCTCTACTTTAATATTACAGTGCACAGGACAATGATGTGCAAATTATACCTCTATATTATGCCATGCTAGGGGGGTAGCAGTGCCTTATACAGGTCTTAAAGAGGAGCTACGGTAATTTCTTAAAAAAAAAAAAATTAAGTCATCTGCTACAAATACTGTAGCAGCTGACTTTTAATAAGCCCACACTTACCAGTTCAGGGATTTAGTGCTGTCCTCATCGGTTCAAGTTGGTTCTTCGTTTTTCTTCAGGTCCCTGGTGCAACCACATCCTGTGGCTTCACACCTGGCTTACCACTGTTCATGGGCAAGTCATGCTGCACTTTGTGAATGGATCTGCAGCCTCTTGGGACCTGTGACTTGTCCCAAGAGGTTATGGGCAGAGAGGTGGGAGAGTGAACTTCTGCTCGGATCACATAAGCAATCCAAGCGAAAGTGGGAGCAGGTATCTGTCAAAACCAGGTAACTACTCCCTGAAAAAAAACCAAAATGTTTTTTCCGAAAGTGGTGGGGCGTTGAGGAGAAGTGGAACTTCTTTTTAAGATGAAGTTCCACTGTCACGGTCCCCCCATGCTCCCCCTCTCTCTCTCTCTCTCCCCCCCCCCCCCCCTTTCCAGATCCCTGCACCCCCCCCCTCCCCATTATATGACCCTGCATGTAGCCCACATAAGTGGTGTGCTGGGCGCCAGGGAGCTGCCTCCTGCTGTGGACCCCACACCTTCCTCCTGGCCGTGTGTGTATATGTGTGTGTATATATATATATATATATATATATATATATGTGTATATGTATATGTGTGTGTGTGTATATATATACACACTGCGATGCAGAGCCATACAAAGCAGTATGCAGGAGCTGACGGGAGAGATCTGTGTTTATACACAGGTCTCTCCCCTGTCAGAGATACTCAGTGATCACCAGGTGTCGGTGAGTAATCATCTTCTAGGACCCAGGGATTGACAGGCGAAGCCGTGAATGGCGGCGCAGAACTGCAAAATCGTGTGTGTGTGTGTGTGTGTGTGTGTGTGTGTGTGTGTGTGTGTGTATATAAATAAATATATGGTTTTGCGCACACGTGCCACCCTGTAATAGTATTTCTGCTATAGGGTGGCGCGGAAGCGATTAATGTTTGTAATTGTTTAACTTGTGTTTTTATTCATAGATCCATAAGGTCCACGTAGGCAGTGAACATCCTCCATATACACTATGTTGCCAGAAGTATTGGTCGGCCTGCCTTTACATGCACATAAACTTTAGTGGCATCCCAGTCTTAGTCCGTAGGGTTCAATATTGAGTATTGAGTTGGCCCACCTTTTGCAGCTATAACAGCTACAGCTCTTCTAGGAACGCTGTCCACAAGGTTTAGGAGTGTGTCTATGGGAATGTTTGACCATTCTTCCAGAAGCACATTTGTGAGGTCAGATACTGATGTCGGACGAGAAGGCCTGGCTTCCAGTCTCCACTCTAATTTATTCCCAAGGTGTTTTATGGGGTGGAGGACAGTTAAGTTCCTCCACCCCAAATTCGCTCATCCATGTCTTTATGGACCTTGCTTTGTGCACTGGTGCGCAGTTATGTTGGAACAGGAAGGGGCCATCCCCAAACTGTTCCCACAAAGTTGGGAGCATGAAATTGTCCAAAATGTCTTGGTATGCTGATACCTTAACAGTTTCCTTCACTGTAATTAAGGGGCCAAGCCCAACCCCTGAAAAACAACCCCACACCATATCCCCCCTTCACCAAACTTTACACTTGGCACAACGCAGTCAGGCAAGTACCGTTCTAGCAACTGCGGAACCCAGACACATCAGTCGGATTGCCAGACATTGAAGCGTGATTGGTTACTCCAGAGAACGTCTCCACTGCTCTAGAGTCCAGTGGCGGTTTTATACCACTGCATCCAACAGTTTGCATTGCACTTGGTGATATAAGGCTTGGATGCAGCTGCTCGGCCATGGAAACCCATTCCATGAAGCTCTCTACACCTTGTTGTTGTGCTAATCTGAAGGCCACATGAAGTTTGGAGGTCTTTATCTATTGACTCTGCAGACAGTTGGCGACTTCCGCTAACTGTGCGCTTTAGCATGCGCTGACCCAGCTCTCTCTTTACGTGGCCTACCACTTCGTGGCTGAGTTGCTGTTGTTCCCAGTTGCTTCCACTTTCTTATAATACCACTAACAGTTGACCGTGGAATATTTAGTAGCAAGGACATTTCACAGATGGACTTATTGCACAGGTGGCAACTTATCACGTTACCACGCTTGAATTCACTGAGCTCCCGAGTAGAACATAATCTTTCACAAATGTTTGTAGAAGCAGTCTGCATGCCTAGGTGATTGATTTTATACACTGGTGGCCATGGAGATGATTGGAACACCTGAATCCAATAATTTGGAGGGGTGTCCCAACACTTTTGGCAACATAGTGTGTATGTAAAACCTCAGTTTCAAAAAAGTTGGGACGCTGAGTAAAATCTACATTTAAAACAGAATGCAATGATTTGAAAACCTCATAAACCCATATTTTATTCACAATAGAAAATAGAAAACCAAAAATCAAATGTTTAAACTAAAAAAAGTGTACCATTTTTAGAAAAAAAAAAAAGGTAATTTTGAAATTGATGGCACCAACATGTCTTAATAAAAGTTGGGACAGGACCATGTTTACCACGGTGTAGAATCCCGTTTTTTAAACAACACTCTGTAAACATCGGGGAAATGGGGAGGTAAGTTGCTGTAGTTTCAGGAGAGAAATATTGTCCCATTCTTGCCTGACATAGGATTCTAATGGCTGAACAGTCCTGGGTCATATTTTTTATTTCAAGATGCCCCAAATATTTTTAGTTGGTGAAAGGTCTGGACTTCAGGCAGGCCGGTTAGGCACCCAGACTCTTCTATGAAATCATGCTGTTGTCATAGATGCAGTATACATTTTAGCATTGTTCTTCTGAAATATGCAAGGCTTTCCTTGAAAAATAAAGTCTGGATGAGAGCAAATGCTTCTATAAAACCTGTATATATCTTTCAGCATTGATGGTTCCTTTCCATATACGCAAGCTGCTCATTACATATGCGCTAATGCACCCATCAGAGGTGCAGGATTTTTGAACTGAGCACTGTCAACAATTTTGATGGTCCCTCCCCTTAGTACAGAGGATGCAGCATGCATTATTGCCAAAAAACCATGTCACATTTCGATGCGTCTGACCATAGAAACCGTTTTCCACATTGCAACAGACTATTTTAAAAGAGCTTTGGCCCAGAGAAGATGGTGACGTTTCTGGATAATGTTCAGATATGGCTTCTTCTTTGCTTGATAGAGCTTTAACTTTTTTGGATGGCACAGCGATTTTTGAAAGTGTTCCTGAGCCCAAGCATGTCCATCACCGAATCATGCCTCCAGATTCTTTGAATCTTTTGATGATCTTATGTACTGTAGATGATGCTGTACTTTAGAGTCTTTGCAATTTCACATTGAGGAACATTATTTTGAAAGTGTTTGACAATTTTTAGATACCGCTATTCACAAATTGCTGAACCTCTACCCATCTTTACTTCTGAGATACTATTACTCTCTAAGATGCTCTTTTTTTTATACCCAGTCATGTTACTGACCTGTTGCCAATTAACCTAATTATGCAAAATGTTCTTCCAGCTCTTCCTTGTTAGTACCACTTACTCTGATGGCAGCAACATGTCTCAAAAAAGTTGGGAAGGGCAATAAAAAGCTGGCAATTTTGAAATTACCTTTTTTTCTTAAAATGGCACATTCTATTTTCTGTGGTGAATAAAATACGAGTTTATGAGATTTGGAAATCATTGCATTAGGTTTTTATATAGATTTGACAGAGCATCCCAACTTTTTTGGAATTGGGGGTTGTATAATTTTTTTTTTTTTTAATCTAAATTGCGTTGGGTTTACACTGCAACACGTCAGATAATTTGGCTATTGCTCAGATCGAGGTGGTTACTGAACTAGTATACTATCAAAGTAGTAAATATACAGCAAAGCCATGTATAAAATTGTCCATTACACATAGACCTATAATGCCCTGACAGCTTTGTTCTTGAGCTTTATACCACTTAATTGGTATATAATGGTCCTGGCAAATGTTTTTGATTGTTCTGACATATTTCAGGCAACGCTGGTCACATAATTGTGTTTCCTTGTTTGAAAGGAGAGCGGAGGATTTGATTTGTTGCATAACAGATTTGCATCAGCTGCTGGCAGAGCCTTAACTTGATTTGCATTCAGGCACCTGGCTTTCAGCAGCCTGGCCACTAATGATGTGAAAATGAGATTTGTGAAGGAATGCAGTGAACAGAGGGGGAGCTCTATTTTCCTTCAACTCTAGTTTGTATAAAATTCAGTAAAACTGAACTCCGGACAAGCAAAGATTAAATACAAAACATAGAGGCATTTTGCTACCCTAAAAATAATTTTTACTTCTGTCCATACAGCACTGAGATTTATCCAGCCCTGTCACATAGCACACACAGATGCCTGACACCATATTTTCTGTTACAGTTAACAGGTGTGTCCACTTCAGCCTCCTGAC